TAAAAATTTATTAGTAAATATATAAACTATTTTTAGTACTCTCGAATAAGTAATATAAATAAAGAAATAAAAATGCAATTAAACAAGTCCAAAAGTCAAGCTAATACATAGCTTTCCTCTTCATGCACATCGTTAACTACATTAATTATTGCGATTAAAATGCTTCATAAACACGTTGCCTGCACATACCTAGCTAGAATGAATGCATGGGAACTTGCAGCCAGCTGTGCCAGTTAGCACGGCCATAATTCGTAAAGTTTTTAACGCCAGCAGCGACTCAAAACTCCTGCTCAATTACGGCCGCCAGGCAGGTGGGTGGGCTGGCAGTCGGRCAGGCRGGCAGGCGGGCAGGTGGGTAGGTGAGCAGGCGCAGTAGCAGCGCCACCGAATGCACCAAGTTATTAGACAAAACGAGTGAATGAGCGACCCATTCACAGCGAATACCCAGGCCCAGACACCCACTGAAACTCAAACTGGAAACTCAAACACTCAACGTGACGCATGCATTAAATGTAGTCAACATGTTTTTGGTGCTCAGAACTCGACGCCAAATTAGAATTATGCAATTACGACTCATTTACGTTGTTTGCAGTCTGGTGGAAAACACTTAAAAACAATTAGAGTGCTTATTGAAATTTGAAACGCTGCAGCGGTGCCTCGCTGACAACGTGCCGCATGCCGCATGCCGAATGCCGCTTACCACATGCTACATGCCTCACGCAACATGCAATGTGTCCCATGCAAAACTAATGCAAGTGTTTTAATTATTTATGCGACCAAACATGACGTTAAATTGTTCTTCATAATCACACTGAGCCAATCAGAATTCAGCCAACGCCCGCAGACCATTTTCACCTCTTGCCTCAAATGGAAAAAATAAATATATACATACATACGATATATATTTATAAAGGAATTCACTGCAATTGTTGTGCTACTGCTAGCCCGTGGCAATTGTAACCCTTTTAATTTATTGCCCAACGAGCCAAGAATTTTTGTAAAAATGTTGGCTATTACCACAGCCGAAAAAATGGGGAAAATATGTGTAAATCAATCAATACATATTTATATATATATTCCATTTATTTTTTAGGCTTTTTATTGGAGAACAATTAGCCATGAATTAATAATGACATAAAACTTAAATAGTTAAATATTTCACTGAGAAGAATGCAGAAACTTAATGCGCACTTATTGCTGAGATATCCATTTGAAGTTGAAATAAAGCCAAGTTAATTAACTCACCCTTCAAATTATTTATTTGCCCGCATACAAATCTGCATCTGACAGCCTGCTCGATAAAACATTCACACTTAATAATATCATTTAAGCAATCTGTGGGCTGTGCCCGCTCTCAATGGAACAAAACACTTATTATATACATATACGCCCCTCCCTATATAGCCATAGAGTATTATTTTGTTTTATTTCTGCACTCGCACTAACAGGTTTATTTTTCTGGGAGTGCGACACCAGTCGCATTGAGTGCGAATAAAGTTGTTAAATATTTCTCATTGGTTTTTTTCGGATTTTTTATTTTTTGTATTTTTGCATATTGTTGAAAGCACCAAAAATGGGGAACAAGACATTTAAATAAAACCAAAATGCAAAATATTTATGCAACAATAAATAAGAGTGAAATAAATAAATTGCGGCAAATTAAGACTGCAAAAACAAGAGCTGTAGCCTGAAGAGAATATACTCTTATAAAATACGGAATGTCAGAATAATATTGTATTGTTATTATTGTATTAAC